GCTAGAAATAGCTACTGAAGTTTAGTCTGGAGTAACATTGGACCAAGAGGCCGGGGTGCCACGTTGACATTGCTAAGCTTGGATCCCTGAAAAACAGTTTAATCATCAGAAGTTCAGAGGAAAGGATCTGCAGTTTCTCCTAAAGGAAACAAGCAGCAGATACTTCACAAATCTGACTCAGGCCTATACTGTCAGATCTGAAAGAGGCCATCAGAAGAACCGGACACACCAGCACCCCCTTATCACTCCCAGCTGGATACCATCACAGCCACAGTGCATGCCATCAGGAACAACTACACAGCTCTTCTGCCTCCGTGTCAAATCAGCCAGTTCTAAGGGCTTTCAGCACCAACTTCCACCAGCCTGACTTGGCCCTGCTATAGACAGGCAGCTCTCACAGCTCTCCCCAACAGCTCACCAGTACATTACCTACTCGCTGCTGACGACTTTCAAAGATGGAACACAGTATCTTCCACCAACACAGTACTTGCAAAGTGGAGATAAAAAGTGGAGCTGTGAGACAACGTCACACAGGCAATGGAGCTGCCTTGGAGTGCTCTCTCTGACTGCACAGACAAAGCTTCAGAGATTTAGGGTACCATCCCTAAGGGATGTTTCTAGAATATTCACCCATATGACTAAGTTAAGGTTCAACAAATTGACTGCAATCAGAAAATTAAATTAAATTACGTTTAAAACAACAGAGACTTACATTTAAGACTGCATCATAGCAATGGGGTCCATGTAAGTAGGATAAAATTTAAGTTGCTTTCAGCCTAAAAACACAAGCCAGCATAGGTTGAAACTGAGAGAAGAGAAACAGTAAGATTCTGAACTTATACCCATATAAAAAAATCACAGCACAAAACCACAACCAATGCATCAAAACAGACCTGGGGTGTTTACTTGGATGTACAAATCTCAGCCTGTGCTCTGTGAATGGTTAAATGGAATAAAAGAGTTGGGCTGCACCTTGTTATATTTTTCCCCCCCTTTCAAATTCGTAAAACAGCCAAAGCTCTTTCCTGTTGAGAAATTCAGACCGTTATTTTTTTTCATTGGATAACAGATGACTAGCCAATCTTTTACTGATAAGCTGAAAGGGATGAAAAGCAGGTTTTAAAGCAACTCCTTATATAAATCACTCAACTTAAAAACAACTGGAAATAGTCTCATTAAAAGTGAATGGAAAAGTCCTCAGTCAGAAAGCTCCGACACACGAGTTTCTCAACCCACCCTCAGGACTGTCCTGGAAGATCTAAAATCCCATTTCTGAAGTACAGCCATGAAAAAATCATAAGCTGAAAAAGGCTGAAAAATACCTCTCAAGGTATCTTCTTCCTGCATAAAAACCGACACGTTGCCCTCAAAGTATATTTTAGCCATTCCCCCCGGGCCCCAAATGTTTTGCTTCAAGTGAGAAAGCAGTCTGTCTTTTATTGCACATCCCTGCTCTTCAGTGTGTGCAACAGAGCAAACCAGAGATTTCTATACCTTAACTACTTTGAAACAGTTCTCCACTTAAGGTCACAGCTGCAGAGGGGTCAAATACCACCCTGTATAATGCAGAAGCCTATTCAAAGTGAATATTCAAGACAAACAGGTTATGTTTCCCCACCAAGTGAACAGTTCTGAAGTTATGATTATTTTCTAAACTTTTTCTGTTTATGTGGTACTTCATGATCCAAACACTGATCTCTTTTTTCCCCTACCTTTCCAAAAAAAAAAAAAAAAAACCCACACAAAAATGAGAATGAAAGCAACATTTGGAGGTTCAAGAATTAGCGTAATACTGCCAGAAAACTGCAAAAGTGTTAATTTTCCTCAAGGGGGCTGTGCATTCTCCTATAAAGAACCACTAACATTGCTGCTGCCCATCCTGTACCCCTAAAACACCACTTTATGTGCTTGAGAGGGTCTCCCATAGGCACCTCTTATACAACAGGAAAATCATTTGCACTAAACTGGAAAACTGGAAAGCACTAAACTGGCAAAGGATTCTTTTCTACATACGATCAGAAATCCCATCTTTAATGACCCGACTGTTACACATCCCTCCAAGAAAATAAGGGGTATTGCTTAACAACATGTGAGCACATGGGACATCATAAACTCTTTAAAAAAGATTCAAGTCAGCATGAAGTTTGATTGCCCCCAAGAGAACTGCTAAAATACTAATGATCTTCAAAAACACATACTTACGGTCACTGTCAGGCTTTCAGGGAAGAAGCCAACAAGTTTAGCCAGATTTTTCCACATCTTCTGTCATTTTACAGTCTTCAGTATTGAGCCAAGAGCAGAAAAACCAGAAATTTTTTTTTTTTTTTTTAATTTTCTTCTTGAAAAGAACGAAAAGTTTTTCAGCTTCCAATTCCCTTTCTCAAGGGTGCCAGGAAAACCAAGCCTTACTTAAGACAGCCTAAGACTTCAGCAACAGTCCTCTTCTCATCCCAAACTTAATACCATTTACTGTCTTGATAACAACTTAAGGATTCTGGAAAACACTATGACATCAGATCTAGCATTGCTGATATGAAGTTTTACAATTTTCTCCCTCACAAAAGTTGTTTCTACCTGACAGAATAAATCCCAGAAGTTTCCCTGGCCCTGTGAACCAGGTGGTAACTTGAAATTGCCTCAAGTATTGCAGTTATTTTGTCACCTAGAAATGGGAAAGACATCCAGCTGTGAGGAACAATGCTATACAAATCAAGCAGCTCCTGACCTGGAAGTCTTGGATGAGGAGAATAAAACCCCCACGATTCAGGTAGAAACTTTTAGAGACCCACTTATCCACCTGGACTGCCAGGTCTGTGGGATCAGATGGGATCCACCCAAGGGTGCTGAGGGAGCACTGGTGGAGGTGATAGTCAAACCACTTTCCATCACCAATCAGCATTCCTGGTAAACTGAAGAGGTCCCAGAGGATTGGAGGTTCCCACTTACAAGAAGGGCCGTAAAGAGGATATGGGGAACTACAGGCCTGTCAGCCTGACCTTTGTGCCAGGAAAGGTTATGGAGCAGATCACCTTGAGGGAGATCACACAGCAAGTGTGAGACAACCAGAGGGAAAAGGCAGGTTGTGCTTGACCAATTGATTTCTTTCTATGATCTAGTGACCTGCCCAGTGGATGAAGGAAAGACTGTTGATGTAGCCTACCCAGACTTCAGCAAAGCCTTGGGCATGTTCTCACACAGTATTCCCCTGGAGAAGCTGCAGCCCATGGCCTGGACAGATGTACTCTGCTGAGTAAAGACCTGGCTGGATGGCTGGGCCAAGAGAAGTGGTGGTGAATGGAGTCACATCCAGTCACGAGTGGTGCTCCCCAAGTGTCAGTATCAGGGCCTGTTCTGGTCAGTATCTTTATTGATTACCTGGATGAGGGCATTGAGTGCACCCTCAGTAAGCTTGCAGATGACACCAGACTGGCTAGAAATGTTGATCTGCCCTGGGGGTAGGAAAGCCTACAGAAGGATCTGGACAGGCTGGATTGCTGGGCTGAGGCCAATAGGATGAAGTTCAACAAGACCAAGTGCTGGGCCCTGCACTTTGGCCACAACAACCCTAGGCAATGCTTGGGGCAGAGTGGTTAGAAAGCTGTGTAGAGGAAACAGACCTGGGGGTATTGGCTGATGCTTGGGCACACTTCTGGCTCATGTTCTGCCAGGTGGTCAAGGCCAGCAGCATGCTGACTTGTATCAGAGGCAGTGCTGCCAGCAGGAGCAGAGAAGTGACCATCCCTCTGCACTCAACACCTCAAGTACTGTGCCTGATTTCAGGCCTCTTAGTTCAAGAAGGACATTGAGGCCCTGGAGCACATTCAGAGAAGGCCAACAGATCTGTGAGGGGTCTGGAGCACAAGTCTGATGGGGAGCAGCTGATAGAGCTGGGATTGTTCAGTCTGGAGAAGAGGAGGCTCAGGGGAGACCTTACTGCTCTCTGCAGCTGCCTGCAGGGAAGTTGTGGTAAAGTGGGAGTCAGCCTCTTCTCCCCTCTAGCAATAGGACTAGAGAGAATGGATTCAAGTTGAGCCAGGGGAGATTCAGGTTGGACGTTAGGAAATACTTCTCTGAGAGAGTGGTCAGGTGCCGGGACTGCACAGGGAGGTGGTGGAGTCACCAGACCTGGAGGTGTTCAAGAAGCATTCCGATGTTGTACTGAGGGACATGGTTTAGTGGGAACTATTGGTGATAGGTGGATGGCTGGACTGGGTGATCTTAGAGATCTTTTCTAACATTAATGATTCCATTATATTGTTCTTCCTTTGTAAAGCCACAGACTGGCATTACAGCAGCAGTTCTGCTTTGAAAAAGAGGTGATTTAAGTTCTTCACAAGGGCAGCCAGTACGTAAGTTAGTTAAAAATCAAAAGACTGGCTGGTTACCAACAAGCTATCAGCACCATATGCAGGTCTCCAACTCAAGTGAGAACAGGGCAAGCAATCAGCCCTGCAAGAGGAGCTGCTAACATCACAGCCCCAGCTATACAGCGGCTGGGAACGGTTGGGCTCAGCAGAGGAGGCTGAATTCATCTCTAATTCAGAAAGTTTATCCTAGGATCATGGAAAAGGATTAAGAAACTTCTGCAAATGCAATATGAGAAACAATCTCAAGTGCAATGGTGTTGTTGTTTCTGTTGTTTTGAAGTTTAGAATGGTTTCAACTACTACATCTGTACCCAAGTTCCTTTTTTCAGTGTCTGAAGTCACATCCTTCTGTTTTCAAACTCAACTGAGTCATTCAGCAATAAAACACTGACAGTATCTTGTAGAATTATTTTGTACAATTTACAGAACAGGAGTTAAAAAAGACAGTCAGTCATGCGGTTGGGTATTACTACAGACATACACGAAATAAAAAGCTATTTCTGAGCTGAATGGGTTGAAGTCAAGCATTATCATTCAATGTTAATTCAGAAGTGGGAAGGAAACCTGGGACGAAAACAAAACACTGGTCAGCCTTTAATGCTGCCTTTCAGGGTATCAAATTGGACCACTCACCTCCACTAAGTAACTTCATCACCAGCCAAAGCTCATCTTTCACCACAAATGATGTGTAGTAAGATACAATGTTGGGGTGGTGGCACTGACTCATTGCTTGAATTTCTTTCTGCAAAGAAAAATAAAATATTAGCAGTTAGACACAATGATTATTATTCCAAATACAAAAATTATCTCCCTCAAAATGCAATATTCAATGAAGGTGAGAGAAAAAAAAAAGAAAAAGAAACCTAACCACAAAAATAAAAACCTAGAAACTTTTAATACTCACCTGCATCACGCTAGAACCAAACCTAAAGCTATTCATGGATGCTCCACCTGTCTCTCTGACTAACAGAAAACAAAAGTGGATTGAAACCCTCTTGGCAAGAGCAATAAAATGATTCTAAACACCTGCTTTCAGCTATAACAGAACACTCCTGGAAACTCACCAGTGTTACCTAAGCAGCTTATACCACCAATTTCTTTCAGTGATCTATTACACAACAGATGCTTAATCAGTCAAAAACTTATCATTTGGATGAGAAAGGGAAATATTTGCCTCCGGGAAAAAAGGGTCTCTCATCCCTAATGTTTCTTCTCAGCATGAAAGCAGATGGCTCAGCTCAATCAGGTTGAGGGCACAAAGGACAGCTACAGCTTTTGTCATACAGGAAGAATAGGGAAAACAGTTTGAAATTAGAAAGTAGTTGGCTACTACAGATGGAATACAACAGTAAATATGCTCAGATGTGAAAGTGCCTGAGTTTTGACTTGAGTGCTTACTCTTACACTCATTTATGGGTTAAGGATTGAGGTTTCCCAAAGGGGGAACAACATGACAGAAAACACTGACCAATTTCTCATTATGCAAGTACTAACAACTAGGTTGGACAAAGCCTCACAGTTTCTCCATTGCCCACAGACAAAAACCACCCATTAAGCCAAGCCTGGCACCCGGCACTACCTAGCTGGGCATCAGTGCTGCAGCCAGGCAGGTAATCTCAGCCAAGAGCCCCAGTTTGCCTGACTGTAGCTTCTAGTGAGACCCATGCATTCCCCAATACCTGGATCTCCTGTGAGAGCCGACCACAGACACCACTTACACAAGGGAAAGGAAAGCAAGACCACCTCATGGCCATGTGCTGATTCCTTCCTCCCAAAGCACCAAAACACAAGAGGATGCTCTGAGGACTCACCCACGCCCAGGAATGCCCCACAGACACTGCCAGTTCCTCTCCTACCCATTTAAAAGGTCCACTTGTGACTAAATACAGCATAAGAGCACTGCTTGCCCAAGGTATGCAGCTGGAAGTCACAGCTACACAGAAACTGTGGTATTGATTTATCCAGTTTAATGCTGCTTTCCAGAGTAGGTGTATTTGAGGAATCAAATGCACTTGGTTCCTCTTTCAGCTCCCTCAGAAGCACCAACTTTCCAGGAAGTTCCAGTACAAAGATTAAATAAAAATCCTGAACAGGAAGGGGTATTTGAAGAGCAGGGGAGTAGGCAACTGAAGTCAGTACAGCGTACACAACAACTTAAAAAACCACTCTGTGAAAATAAATACAGCCTGAAATAATATCCTCTGCTTATTCTGACTGCTCTAGCTCTCTCCCCTGCAAACACATAGATGCTTGTGTCAAGCTACTTCGCAAAAAAGGAAGTAAATCAGCACCTTCAGAGTTCACTAATGCTTCTCAATTAGGAATCACAATGTAGGAAAACCTCTCAACAGACAAATTTGGCAATAAAAAATTGCTTTGCTTCCAGTTTCTGTCAGGGGATGGGTGACAGATGGAAACCTGGATGAACACAGGTCAGATTCAGTGACTGCTCAGTGCCCTCTGCCATACTGGTTGCATAAAACCCAGTTGCTTAGAAAGCTGTCTGCAAGCACCACGGCAACTCTATTGATTTGTACCTCTCCAAACTCAGCTTATTGAGCTCAGAGTTCTACACTCATTTGCTTACCCTGGAATCATATTGGACTTGCTCACAGCACTGGACAGCATCCCTTTTTAAGGAATCCATAAACCTGACACAGCCTTTGTACCTGCACCTGGAATTACCATTTGGTCTAAGGCTTTAAATTAATTTTCAAACATGCATGCAAACGTTTAACAAGTAGAAAAACACATCCACAAATGGCATCAGAGGAAAAAAAGAGGTGGAAAGAAGCAAGCAGGATGTTGCTCTGCTGGTCCTCGTATCAGCCAGCCCTTCCTTCCCCAAAGCCAAGATTCTCAGAAATGATCAAGAGTAGCTTGTTTTAATCTTATCTCAGTAAAACCTCTCCAAATATTTTGAACAGGCTCCCTAGGAGATCAAGAGAGTAGTGGAAAAAAAATATGCACAAATATTACGTATTTTATAGATATTAGTGTATTCCACTGGAGTTCAGGAGACAGCAAGATAAAGCCTGGACCAAGTGTATTTAATATACCAGGCCTGGATCAGATCTTTTCCATACAATTAGCATTACACCATTTCACAGTAGTTCTGTGACATTCTGTTACTATTTTATTATTTTCCATGAACTTCCTCTCTTGCACATTTACCATATTCCACTCCCTAGGCTAGAAATAACAATTGAAATGAAGAAAAAAAGTTACAATTGTCATAGGCTGCAGTACACAAAAAGGAAAAGGGAAAACAAATCACAGTAAACTTGATCTATGTGACAAAACACCATCAGCTAGTGGATGTGCAGTAGCAGATTAAGCCAGTTCTTAAACAGCACAGCGAGGCTCTGAATAATAAACTACATCCCAGTCCCTAGTGCTTTCACACTGTTACCAGTAAGGAATAACCACAGAACTGTAGGGGCTGAAAGGGACTTCAAGACACCACTAAGTCCAACCCCTGCTAAAGCAGTTCCCTACAGCAGGGCACACAGGTAGGTGTACAGACAGGTCTTGAATATCTGCAGACAAGGAGACCCCACGACCTATCTGCTCAGGCTGTTCTGGTGCTCCATCCCTCTGACAGTGAAATTCTTCACTCTGTTTGTACAGAAATCCCTGTGTTCCATTTTCTGCCTGCTGCCCCTCATTCTATCACTGTATGCCACCAAAAAGTCTGCATACGTTGCTTGGAATGAGCAGGCAAATCCCAGCGGGCTTTGTGGTTAAAATGCTTCCTTGAAACACTGACACCAGTTCTGTCTCGCATACAAGTGTGTTACAGCACTAGAAATGCAAGGACTAAAGTGTTGTAGTTAAGGAATCCCAGTCAGGAATCACTGGGGAGCTCTGCTCAGAAGTGTACTTACAGAAAGAGGAGGAAGGGATGGAATGCAGCAGTGGTCCTTCTAGGTGCAAGAAGCACAGCTTTAACCTTGGTGCCAAAGTTTTTCAGAGCTTTCACTGCAGAACTGCTCTTCAAACACCACAAAGTGCTACCAGGCAAATGGTTCCCCTTCCCATCGTCTGCTAAAAGACGTCGCTATCCTCAAATCACACAAAGAAACAGCTGAATTATAGCTGTGTTGCCCTCACTTTTGCTAGCATCTAAACTATGCTGGAAAACTAATAACATTCTCATCGGTTTTTACACATCTGTCATAATGCCACTGCTAAGCACTGCAGTTTATTGGGGCTAATGCACAGAACTTCTGAAATGGAAATGTTTTATTCCTGCTCATCGTTACCGACTCCTCAAACTAGCTGCAGCTCCAGCTGCTGGTAGACATCCACCCAGTTGCTTTTTCACACACACACAGCTAAATCCCTTCAGTTAAGAGACACGGCCTTACTGCCAATTCCCCATTTCAAGAGCTATAAATTCAACTGCCTTCTGCTCAGCTATGGAGAACAAATTATTGATAAAAACACATCTAGACACAGGCAGTGGTTTGGAGATGGTTACATGCTCACCCTAGGCTAGATATTAAAAATAACTGCACTGTCAAATACACTGGGGTTAGCTATAAAGGCCCCCACATCTTCCATTAAGGGTTCTAATGAATGTTTTCAGTGCTTCTGCAGACAATAAAAGACAGCATTTCAAGGCTTCTGAAATGCTAATAAAATCTCTCTAAAGTATAATTTAGAAGAATAAGAAACCTCTTTATCTCTTCTAAGTCAGACACACTTCTGGAGATCTGCTATTCTGGAAGTACATCTATTTTCCTCCACTGAAGTTTGAGTCAACAAGAGCAGAGACACAAAGCAGGTAAAGCTGTGTACAAGATGCTGGCTGAATCTATTCCACTGGTATTTTCTGTTCCCACTATCACCTTCTTTTCTTAATGTTTATCTGCCCCTGAGGCACATTTCAAACACACTTGCTCTCAAATACAAGGCTTCCTTTATTTAGTTTTACTTGCTCTACGTTGACATGAACTCAATAGACAGAATGCACATTTCAAACACACTTGCTCTCAAATACAAGGCTTCCTTTATTTAGTTTTACTTGCTCTACGTTGACATGAACTCAATAGACAGAATGCAAGCAACATAAGCAATCTGCTTTCACATGGGTACCTGCAGGTTTAGAGGAATCCAGAAAGCTGTTTACCTGGCTATCCCACTTGAAGGCAATCATGACACTAGAGAATAGAGTGGGGAGGAAAGCGGAAATCAAAGCAGGTCAGGTGTAATCTCTTCCCTGAGTACATCAATGCTCCAGCTTTGGATGGTGAAGCACTTCTCACAGCTGAAATTTCAAGGCACAAGGCAATAAATTCTTCTTTGTCCTTCTGAAGCAGGATTAAGAACTCTGGTTCAATCGGCAGACAACCACCAAGCTTTTCTTTAAATTCAAATGGTTTTGTTTAAAGTCTATAAAATTGGGAATATGGATTCATTCCCATTTTTAAATATCAGCATAAAAACCATGATGTTCTGTCAACTTAAGGATCATTATTTGAAAGAGAAGAGGAAGAAGCACAGAGCTAAAAAAAAATCTGAGATTCTGATACAAATTCCCTGTCCAGATTATTCAGTTCAACTCCTTACCTCAAGCCATGGAGAGAGACTGGCACAACTAAAGGATTAGATCAGCCCATCCAGAGCAACAGAGGAAACTATTACACACCTAATTTTGAAATGGATAAGAAGTCTTCATAAGGAATATAATCTCAGGTGATGGGAAACAAACTACTGCTGTGACAAGGTGCCCAAGAA